GATGGCTCCTGTGACTAGAGGGTGGTCAGCCAGAGCCCAGGGGACAGCTAGCCAGGCGCCTGTGGAGTGGCCTGGTTGGAGAGGGGCAGGGCACTCATTAAAGTGCATCAGAGCCAGAGCCTGTTGTGTCTCAGTTGGGTGGTCCCCAGGACACTGCCCGTGGGGACCTGCCCTGCCCCTGTTAGGTTTGGAGCAGAAGTGGAGGTGCGCACAGCAGGCACCCACTGGCCGCCTCCTCAGTGGAGGCCCCAAGGAGCTGCAGCTGAACTGCAGGTGACGGAGGCAGGAGCAGCCTGGGCTGCCCCTTGGCATTCAGGATGTGGCTTCCTGCCCACTGCATACCCTGGTGCCTCACTCCTCACACAGGAAGACAGCAGGCCTGGCTGGGCGTCCCTGTGCCTGTCCCTGGAGGCCAGGCCATTGCCTTCCCACTATGCAGCCAGGGATCCCCCTGCCCCCCGTGGCTCTGTGCTGCTCACTTTAGGGGGCTCAGTTCTCCACTCTGCTCAGTCCCTACAGGGAAAGCTCAGGCAGGGTCTTTCTGAGGGTCCACCAACCATCCTGCCCTCTCCCTGCCTGGCACATGCCTGCCAGCGTTGTGCCATGCCTGTCCACAGGGGATTCATGGGGCCCGCTTCCTCAGAGTTTGGAGCCCAAATGAAACATTGAAGTGACTGAGGACCTGGCTTCAGTGTGTTTTCTGCTGGGGCTTATAGCAGTGGGCAGGGCTTGTTCCATCCCTGTGTGCCCAGCTGCATTTCCTGCTGGGGTCCTCGTTCCTCAGGAGGAGAGAGAGATCCCGAGGTGAGAATGAGCTGGGAACAGCAAGGACGCTGATTGGTTGGGGTGGGGAGGCCAGAGTAGCTGATGCAGGGGTCCCAGGAGCACAGGGTGGCCAGATGGCACGAGGTCTTCAAGGCCCCAGCAGAGCCGTGGCTTCTACCCCCAGCTCCCCTGACAGGAAGTTCTTGGTGGGTTTGGAGCCAGGGGATGGCATGGAGTGATGTGGCTTTGAAGGGTCCTCTGGCTGCTGAGCTGGGATGAGGCAGGGAAGGGTGGAACAGGAAGACTGGTGAGGAAGCCGGGGCAGTCACCAAGTGACCACTGAGAGGAATACCCACCCCACGGCAGGGGCAGATGTGGGTACATTAAGGGGAGAGCCAGAGAACTCATGGGGTGAGGATGGAGTCCGAGGAGACTGCTGGGAGCTGCCGTGTGTGTCGCAGATGGAGAAGGCTGTGAGTGCAGCAAGTTGAGGGGTGACTAGGACCCAGCTTTTGAGCCTCCCCAGCCAGAGCGGCCCAGCAACAGTGTCCTGTGGCCATAAAACTCCAGGGACCTCTATCCTCCAGGAGTCTCAGCCTTTCCCTGGGCGCAGGCCCACCTTGGCATGGCCTTCTCAGGCCTGTGTGGAGGAAGCTGACATGTCCCCACCAGATTGGCCCTTTGGAGCTGCTGGCTTCTGTAGAGGCTGCCCAGAGGGGCCAGGTGGCACAAATGAGAGAGGGGAGATGGGGGGCAGCCAGGAGAGAAGGTGTCCCTTCCTCGCCCAGACACAGCGCTTTTCTCTGGCCTTTTCCAAGGCCTTTGAGTGTCTCAGGAACTAGCTGGTTCTCTGGTAAGGCAGTGTTCAGCTCAGGAACATACCGCCTGTATCTGCTGTCCCTCCTGCCCCCCACCCCCTCCCCGCCTTGCCTTTTCCCCTGTCTTCCTTAAAGTTTCACTCCTGAATAAAACTTCACTTTGCCTTAGAATCTGTTTGTTTGTTTTTTTTTTTCTTTGTGTTGAGACAGAGTCTAGCTCTGTCGCCCAGGCTGGAGTGCGGTGGAGCAATCTCGGCTCACTGCAACCTCCATCTCCCGGGTTCAAGCAATTTCTCCTGCCTCAGCCTTCCGAGCAGCTGGGATTACAAGTGCCCGCCACCATGCCCTACTAATTTTTGTGTTTTTAGTAGAGACGGGGTTTCACTGTGTTGGCCAGGCTGGTTTTGAACTCCTGACCTCATGATCCGCCCGCCTCAGCCTCCCAAGATGCTGGGATTACAAGCGTGAGCCACCACGCCAGGCCAGAGTCTGTTGTTTTGGGGCATCCAGGCCAGTGGAACTCTAGTGCAAGAAAAACACCAGCTCTGTCTTGAGCCTGGTGTTCCAGAGCTGTTGACATGAAGACCAAAGGAGCCAGCCCAGAGGGAGGAGGGACCCCAGCAGGATGGTGCCCTGGGCTCCTAAGGCTCACAGGTCACAGAGGAGGGACCTATGAGGTAGGAGGAATACCAGGAGGGAGGAGGACCTCCAAGTGGGGCACAGTGGCTCATGCCTGTAATCCCAGCACTTTGGGAAACAGAGGTGGGCAAATCACTTGTGGTCAGGAGTTTGAGACCAGCCTGGTCAACATGGCGAAACCTCATCTCTACTAAAAATACCAAAAGAAAAATAATTAGCTGGGCATGGTGGTGCACCTGTAATCCCAGCTACTCCGGTGGCTGAGGCAGGAGAATCGCTTGAGCCCATGAGGCAAAGGTTGCAGTGAGCCAAGATTGCACCACTGCACTCCAGCCTGGGTGACAGAGTGCGACTCTTAAAAAACCAGAATTGAGCTGACAGCAGCATCAGACTTGCCCTTGGGATTGGCATGGAGGTCAGCGTAGGGTCCAGCCCCACAGGGTCGGTGGGTTTTTCTCCCCATGTGCGGAGACGAGCGATTATAGAAATACAGACACAAGACAGAGAGAAAAGACAGCTGGGCCCAGGGGACCACTACCACCAAGACGCGCAGACTGGCAGTGGCCCCGAATGCCAGGCTGCGCTGATATTTGTTGGATACAAGACAAAGGGGCGGGGTAAGGAGTGTGAGCCATCTCCAATGATAGGTAAGGTCACGTGGGTCATGTGTCCACTGGACAGGGGGCCCTTCCCTGCCTGGCAGCTGAGGCAAGCGGAGGGAGAGAGAGAGACAGCTTATGCCATTATTGCCACATATCTGAGACTTTTAGTACTTTCACTAATTTGCTACTGTTATCTAAAAGGCAGAGCCAGGTGTACAGAATGGAACATAAAAGCGGACTGGGGTGTGACCACTGAAGCACAGCATCACAGGGAGACGGTTAGGCCTCCAGATAACTGCAGGCGGGCCTGACTGATGTCAGGCCCTCCACAAGAGGTGGAGGATTAGAGGCTTCTCTAAACTCCCCCAGGGAAAGGGAGACCCCCTTTCCCAGTCTGCTAAGTAGCAGGTGCTTTTCCTTGACACTGACGCTACCGCTATACCGTGGTCTGTTAGGTCCATTTGGTAACGGGTGTCTTCCCAGACGCTGGCATTACCGCTAGACCAAGGAGCCCTCTGGTGGCCCTGCCTGGGCATAACAGAAGGCTCACACTTGTCTTCTGGTCACTTCTCACCATGTCCCTTCAGCTCCTATCTCTGTATGGCCTGGTTTTTCCTAGGGTATGATTGTAGAGCGAGGATTATTATAATACTGGAATAAAGAGTAATTGCTGCAAACTAATGATTAATGATATATATATAATCATATCTATGATCTAGATCTAGTAAACGTCTTATGTTACGTATTTGATTATACTGAAACAGCTCATGCCCTCGGTCTCTTGCCTTGGCACCTGGGTGGCTTGCCGCCCACAGGTCAGTGGCAACCTTGAGTTTAGGTGCCGGTGGGAGCCGATTCTGCCAGGTCTCGGAGGGAGAGAGAGAAGGGTGTTGCAGGCAGAGGATGGAAAACACTCGAATTTGCTGCTAAAGGAAGCAGTAACGTGAGGCAGCTGGAGGGGAGGTGGGGTCAACAGTGTTTGGCTTTTTAGGAGAAAATGCAGCATGTCTGGGTGCTGCTGTCAGCGATGAAGTGAAGGAGGAGAATGGATGACACGGAGGGGCAGTCTGGGGGATGGGTGGAAGGGGTTGGGGTGGAACGCACAGTGTGAGGGACTTGGAACACAGTGAGTAGCGCCTCTGGCAACACCTGCTCTGCCCAGCAAGACTGAAGAAAGAGCTCCAGAGCAGAACCAATGAGTTCCAGGGGGGCTGGGCCAAGCAGCACCATCTGTGCCCCGGGTTGGTGTAGCAGGGACCGGGGTTGCTTATTATCTGAGGAACGGTGGCAACAGTCTCTGCCACTATACAGGTAAAGCGCTTGGCGCTGTAAATGCTCAGTCAGTGCAGACATCTCAGTGCTCTAGACAGAAACCTAGGAGTCATCTGAACTTCCAGCGTGGTAGGAACGTGAGGAGAGGGACCTTGTTGCACCCAGGGCTGGAGTCTCTGGAGGGGACCCAGCAGGGAGCAGGGCAGCCAGGTACCACCCCCACCCGACTCCTGGTCTCTGATGCCTCTCCCTGCCCTCGAGTCCAGACTAGGTGCTTCAAGTGCGCTGGGGAGACCCAGGAGTAGGGAGGGCATTGGGAGTGCCAGCACCTGGCCTTGGGCAAGGAGCAGAGACACGGAAACCAACACTCCCAATGGCACTGGCCACGGTGCCTCTGCCCCCTCCCTCAACAGGTGCTCCTGGGGCCGACTCCTATCTTCCCACCAGACCCTCCCGGCCTGAGGCTAAAACCTGCTGAACGAGCAGCTAGAGCACAGTGGGGGGCCATGGGAAAGACCCCAGTTATCCATCTGGTCTTCCTGGGACCAGGGCCAGGGAGCCAGTCCCCTCTCCCGTGGGTTAGGGGAAGATGCTGCAGCCTGTGGGTCTCCTACCCCTTTACTCCCTCACCCAAGGGCCCTTCGCAGAGGAGCGGACTCCTCCTGTCTGTCCTCCCGGCTACAGCAAAGTCTGCGCCCAGCGCCCGCGCCCGCGCCCCACCCAGCCCCATGGGGACCTGGCTGGTGGGTTCCTGAGGATGGCCTCGATCTCGTGACCGGGTCAGGCAGGTGAGGGTGGGGGATGGGAAGCGGGCGTGGCGGAGGGAGAGGAGGGACCCGGCCCCGCGCGCGTGGACCCGGTGGGGGGTGCGGGCTCGGCCCCGCCCCATCCCGCGCGTCCCCGCCGCGGCCGGCGCGCGCTCCCGGGAGGCGGCGGCGGCTGCAGCGTCGGTAGCATCAGCATCAGCATCAGCATCAGCATCAGCGGCAGCGGCCTCGGGCGGGGCCGGCCGGACGGACAGGCGGACAGAAGGCGCCGGGGGCGCGCGTCCCGCCCGGGCCGGTCATGGAGGGCGCCTCCTTCGGCGCGGGCCGCGCGGGGGCCGCCCTGGACCCCGTGAGCTTTGCACGGCGGCCCCAGACCCTGCTCCGGGTCGCGTCCTGGGTGAGTGGTCCCTGCCCGGGCTCCCGCTCCCGCCCCTGCCTCACGACCTTCAGGCCCCTACTCACCCCCTGCCACCTTCCCCCTTCCCCCTGCTTCTCGCCCCGCAACCCACTCACTCTCATGCTCGCCGGCCCCTCCCCCGCCGGCCTCAGGTTGGGGTGACGTCACCGGGCAGGGCGCGCCCACCTGCGGGCGGGGGAGGGGCCGGCGGCGCCGGAGAGACCTTGAGAGGTCACCGCCGGTCGCCCCTACCCCGACCTCCTCCCCGGGTCTAATTCCAGTCCCTTTCCGCAGCCCTTACTCCGTTTTTCCTGTTCTCGTGACCTGGAAGCAGGCACGGGGTGGGGACGGGATTCGCCTAGGGGCAGAGGGAGGGGGCTACGGGAATCGAGAGAGACCGGGCAGCGCTTCCCCTTCCCCTGCACACACACCCTCGGGGCTCCTTGGCAGGGAGCCTGGCCCCTGGCCCCCAGGTCCAGCTGTGAGTTGAGGGAGGAGAGGCTCTGGGCTGGTAGGGCTTCCTGGAGGTGGTGTGGGAGGCAGGTTTGGGGGCAGCCTAGCCCACTGGGGCGTCCCTGGGAGGGCCCTGCTGCTCCGTCCTCCGGCAGGGGAAGTGGCAGTTGGGTGCCGAGCTCTGGGTTTTGTCCAGGTGGCAACCTCTGGGCCAGCCACACCTCGGCGCTGTCTTGGAGGAGGGCGGTGCCCATGGTGGGGCAGGGGGCTTTGGCCTCCCCTGCGGAGTGGCTCTGACCAGACCGGGAGGCAGGACGCTGCGTTTTGGTCCGAGCGCATGTACCGACTTGTGGCCCACTCTTGGGGGACAAGTGCATGCCCCGGCTTCCCCCTGGGCTTGGTCTCTCGGAGCTGGAGCGGGAAAGGAGCGAAGGGATGAAGTTGAGACTGGAGATCTTTTTTCGGAAACACAGGGCTGCCCCATGCAGCCCTGGTTAAAATGACCGCGGTCCCCTTCATGCCTGTCTCCCGGAACTGGTGGGCAGGAGGCATTGAGGTCTGACGGAACCCCAGAGGTCAACGGTGTCATCTTTTCAGCCCAAACACTTACAGGTGATATTAATAATCAGTCACGTGGGGGCCGCCATCCCTCCGGTACTCACCGCGTGCAGGAAGCTGGGGGGACGTCTCTGTCCCAGCACTCCATGAGCTGTGCCCGTCACCCTATTTGCATGCTAGAAACAGGCCAGACAGTTCCCAATCGCGCAGGGCGCAACAGCCCCGCTGCCCCTATACGCTCCCTCCTGCCCTGCTCTGCCCGCTCCACTCTCACCTCCCCTTCGCCCTGCCGGCTGCAGCCTGGGAATCGCGGGCCCTGGTGAAGGTTCCTGTTCCCACACTCTTGAGTGGGCTCTGAGGGGACTCCACGGGCCCACGCGGTGCAGAGTACCTGGCTTGAATCAGCCCCAGCTTTTGTCAGCCACATGATCCCGACAAGTCACTTCACCTGTTGGAGCCCCAGTGTCCCCTTTTATAAAGAGGATAAGAACAATGGCGATCCCATGGGGACTTTCCCAGGATTTGGTGAGGGAACGCATGTGAAGTGGCTGTTTAACACAATGCCTGGGCATAGTAGATGCTCACTAAACGGCCCGTGTTGTCAATAATTACTAAATATGCGAGGGTTTGGGAAAGGAAGAGATGACACCACCCCCCACCCAGATACGGGCCTGGGAACGCAGGGACAGGCCCGGGGGCGTGGGCGCTCGCAGTGGGCTCGCAGAGGTCGGGTCGCTGCAGGGCCCTGAGCGCCGCGCCGCACGCAGGTGTTCTCCATCGCCGTCTTCGGGCCCATCGTCAACGAGGGCTACGTGAACACCGACAGCGGCCCCGAGCTGCGCTGCGTGTTCAACGGGAATGCGGGCGCCTGCCGCTTCGGCGTCGCGCTGGGCCTCGGAGCCTTCCTCGCCTGCGCCGCCTTCCTGTTGCTCGATGTGCGCTTCCAGCAGATCAGCAGCGTCCGCGACCGCCGGCGCGCTGTGTTGCTGGACCTGGGCTTCTCAGGTGGGCGGGGCCGGGACGAGGAGCCGGGGGTTGGGGCGGGGCCTGAGGCGGTGAGCGTCGACGGGCCGCCCGGGTGGGCGGGGAGGAGGCGGGGCCCGGGCGAGGTAACCGCTGGAGTTCCTAGGCGGGCGGGGCCGTGACGAGGGGCGGGGACTGAGGCAGGGAGTGTCAACAGGCCTCTCTGGTGGGCGGGGAGGGGCGGAGCCTGGACGGGCAGCGCCGCGGGACTTTCTAGGTGGGCGGGGCCGGGGTCTGGGCGGGGCCTGGGCAAGGAACGCTGCTGGAGCTCCCGGGTGGGCGGGGTCAGCGTAGAGTGAGGCGGGGCCTCGCGCCACGCGGCGAGCCCAGGTGAGGTGCCCCAAGCCTTGGGCCCACCGACCGTTCCTCTTCCGGGCGAGGCCGCCGTGGGCCCCCGCGTGGAACGTCGCCCTGACCCGCCGCACTGCCCGCAGGACTCTGGTCCTTCCTGTGGTTCGTGGGCTTCTGCTTCCTCACCAATCAGTGGCAGCGCACGGCGCCAGGGCCGGCCACGACGCAGGCGGGGGACGCGGCGCGGGCCGCCATCGCCTTCAGCTTCTTCTCCATCCTCAGCTGGGTGAGTGCGGGGCCCGGGAGGGCGGGGCGAAAGGGCCGGCGCTCGGCTGATCCCGGTTGACCCCGCTGACCCCGCCCGCGCGCAGGTGGCGCTCACCGTGAAGGCCCTGCAGCGGTTCCGCCTGGGCACCGACATGTCACTTTTCGCCACCGAACAACTGAGCGCCGGGGCGAGTCAGGCCTACCCCGGCTATCCGGTGGGCAGCGGCGTAGAGGGCACCGAGACCTACCAGAGCCCGCCCTTCACCGAGACCCTGGACACCAGCCCCAAAGGGTACCAAGTGCCCGCCTACTAGCGGCTGGCAGGCACAGACCAGGGCTCCAAGACCATCCCACCAACGCAGGCCCCAGGATCTCCGGGACCTCCCTTGGGTTCTTCCACCTCAGCGCCAGGGACAGAGTGGGTGGCCGCTTTGGGCCATCCAGGGCCAAGAGGGGGTGGACCCTCGCGTGCCCGGGCTGCCCCCTGCCAAGTTCCCCAGTCCCCCAGCACCTGGCCCCAGGACTAAGGTCCTGAGAAAGGGATAGCACTGCCCAGGATGTGTGTCCCTAGCCCGGAATGGACTGGCTTGGGGAAGGCATTCCCTCTTGGGCCAGCCACCCTGCGGCTCACCTGCTCACTCCGGGGTCTGGGGTTCAGCTGCCCTCTCCGATCAGCTGCAGGAGCTGCCCAGGACAAAGAGGGGGCAGGGGAAAGACACCACCCCCACCCCGAGACTGGGGATCCTGGCCACTGTTCTCATCCCATATTCCTGTGGGTAGTGACTGTCCCGTTTCTGTCATGGTGGTGCGTTCCGTCTGGAGCCACTCTCCACTTTCTCTCACAGGCTCCTAGAACAGCCCGGCCCTGTCAGTGTTGTGATCGTGGTCCAGTCTTCAGGTTTCACCTCCTAGTACCCCACAAGCTGCTCCTCTGTCTGTGGCCCTGGCCCCTGCCGAGGTGTGGGTGGTTCTGGCCAGGAAGGCACAAGGTAGCTGTGGGCCAAGACACCAGCCCTGTCCCAACCCTTCAGTAATACCTTGCCAGGGGAGGAGAAGGATGCTTGGGTGCCAGGCAAGACAAGCCCCTCAGCAGGAGACAGGCCCAGAGGCTCCAGCTGGCCACCGTGTCCCACGAGATGGCCCCTGTGCGGTTCCCTTTACCTTGGCTTCCTGGACCAGTCCCTGCCTCTCCACCTGCACCCTGCTTCCTGGCCCAGTCCCAGGGTGGAGTCCCTCTGCGTAGCTGACTACTCATGCATTGCTCAAAGCTGGCTTTTCACATTAAGTCAACACCAAAGGTGGTTGCCACATTTCATCAGACAGACACACACCTCCCTCTGGAGTTGCAGTTGAGTGACAACCTTGTTACATTGTAGCCTAGACCAATTCTGTGTGGATATTTAAGTGAACATGTTTACAATTTTTGTATATATCACACTCTCTCTCCCTCTCTTGAAAGACCAGAGATTGTGTATTTTCAGTGTCCCATGTTCCGACTGCAACTTCGTTACAATAAAGACTGTAACTGAGCTGACTGTGACCTGGAAGCTCCTGGAATCATTTCTATCCCTTTCCTTCCTGGTGCCAGGGATTGGGATCTGAGAGGCACCAGGGCCCCACAGGAGGGGACGGGGAGGTAGAGGCCAGGCTGACCCCCAGACTCTGGAGGCTCCAGGTCCATAGATCCCCACTACCACGTATCACACTAGTCTGGTTCTCTGAAATGCTGGGGAGACCCCTTGTTTGTTTTTTGTTGTTTTTGTTTTTGAGATGGAGTCTCGCTCTGTCACCCAAGCTGGACAGTGCAGTGATGCGATCTTGGCTCACTGCAACCTCTGCCTCCCGGGTTCAAGCAATTCTCCTGTCTCAGCCTCCAGAGTAACTGGGATTACAGGCACCCACCACCATGCCAGGCTAATTTTTGTATTTTTAGTAGAGGCAGGGTTTTGCCATGGTGGTCAGGCTGGTCTCAAACTCCTGACCTCAAGTGATCCACCCGCCTTGGTGTCTTTCAAAGTGCTGGGATTATAGGCATGAGCCACCGCATCTGGCCTGTTGTGTTTTTGTTTGTTTTAGATGGAGTTTCGCTCTTATTGCCCAGGCTGGAGTGCAATGGCGTGATCTTGGCTCACCACAACCTCTGCCTCCCGGGTTCAAATGATTCTCCTGCCTTAGCCTCCGGAGTAGCTGGGATTATAGGCGTGCACCACCATGCCCGGTAATTTTGTATTTTTAGTAGAGATGGGTTTTCTCCATGATGGTCAGGCTGGTCTCAAACTCCTGACCTCAGGTGATCCACCCACCTCAGCCTCCCAAAGTGCTGGGATTATAGGCGTGAGCCACCACACCCGGCCCAGAGTGAACCTGTTTTATTGTTTTTTGAGAAAATTAAAATAAAAAGGTGCCTAGGCTAGAGTGCAGTGGCGAAATCTTGGCTCACTTCAACCTCTGGCTGACTGCAACATCCACTTCCCAGGCTCATGTGATCCTCCCTGCTCAGTCTCCTGAGAAGCTGGGACCACAGGCATGCGCCACCGTGCCCAGCTAATTTTAAAGTTTTTTGTAGAGATGGAGTCTCCTTATATTGCTTAGGCTGGTCCTGAACTCCTGAGCTCAAGTGATCCTCTCACCTTGGTCTCCTAAAATGCTGGGATTTCAGGCATAAGCCACCGCATCCCACGCTGATGACTTCACTCTTACGTCCTGGCATTCTAAGACACTGATGAGAATGATGCTAACGGTACCATTTGCATTGTTTATAAGTTATCTTGTTGGCAATCATTTGTAGGATTCGTTTCTGTAAATCCTTGTCTAGGTAAGAATTTGTTATCGTTGATCCTGCTTGGTCCTTGATGGTTTGTTTTCTCTCTTGGTGTTTGGGGGGAGCAGTCACAATTTCTCACATGTCCTCTTCTTGTCACCTTCTACTCCTGGGACTCCTGTAAGATTTGCTGTGGAGCCTCCAGCACTGGGTCCCATTCCATGGCCTTCAAGTGGTCACACCCTTCCCTGCTTCTCACCAGTACCTTTTGCAGTTACATCCCCCAGCTTGGTGGTGTTTACTTTTGAACCCATCTATTGGGGTTTTTATCTCAATTACTTTTCATTCCTAGGATTTCTGATACAGAATCTCACTCTGTCACCCAGACTGGAGTACCATGGTGAGATCTCAGCTCACTGCAACCTCCACCTCCCAGGCTCAAGTGATTTTTATGTCTCAGCCTCCCAAGTAGCTGGGATTATAGGCATGCATGACCACACCCAGCTAACTTTTTGTGTTTTTAGTAGAGATGGGGTTTCACCATGTTGGCCAGGCTGGTCTCGAACTCTTGACCTCAGGTTATCCACCTGCCTCAGCCTCCCAGAGTGCTAGGATTACGGGCATGAGCGACTACACCCAACCTCATTCCTAGGATTTCTAATTGGTTATTTTTCATAACCTCCTGGTTGAGTGAAGCACAGCTAAGAACCATCTCTGGAGCCAAGATGCTGGCTTTGCCACTTTCTAGCTCAGTCATCCTGGGTAAGTCTCTCAACCTGTCTATGGCTCAGGTTCTCCTATAAAAGGGTCACTGTGGTTCCTATGGTGTGAGAGGGTGACGATTACTGTGGTAAGGTGTGTGGAGCTTGCAGCAGTGCTTGTCACAGCAACTGCCACTTAAATGTTGCCTCATATTCTAGTTCTTGCTCCTTCTTTAAGAAGTCATTTTTTAGCCAGGGGCGGTGGCTCATGCCTGTAATCCCAACACTCTGGGAGGCTGAGGCAGGCAGATCACCTGAGGTCAGGAGGTCAAGACCAGTCTGACCAACATGGAGAAACCCCATCTCTACTAAAAGTACAAAAAATTCTTCTAAAAGTACAAAAAATTAGCCAGGCGTGGTGGTGCATGCCTGTAATCCCACCTACTCGGGAGGCTAAAACAGGAGAATTGCTTGAACCTAGGAGGCAGAGGTTGTGGTCAGCTGAGATCGCGCCATTCCACTCCAGCCTGGGCAACAAGGGCGAAACTCCATTTCAAAAAAAAAAGTCATTTTTTGCCGAACACAGTGGCTCATTCCTGTAACCTAGTACTTTGGGAGGCCGAGGCAGGAGGATTGCTTGAGCCCAGGAGGTCAAGGCCAGCCTCGGCCACATAGCAAGACCCCTTCTCTACAAAAAATACTAGCTGGGCATGGTGGTGCACACCTGTAGTTCCAGCTACTCAGGAGGCTGAGGTGGGAGGATCACCTGAGTCTCAGGAGGTCAAGACTGCAGTGAGCTGAGATCACACCACTGCACTCCAGCCTGAGAGCCAGACCCAGAAAGAGAAGTTCTTTCCAATAACCTTAAGGAAACAGCCCATTTCCCAGACTGCTCTATTTTCCTGTGGGACTGGTCTTGCTTACGAATCTGCGATCCCCTGCGAAGTGGGCATCAGTTGTGAGGCACCTCTGGTGCAGGGGAAATGCAGGTGGCCTCCACCCAGCCTCTCATGTCCTCGCCGGCTCCAGCATGGCCATCACTCAGAAGACACACTGGAGCCCCGTCCAAGTCCTCAGCTTCACGGGGGGCAGTGCCGATGCTGCCGCATGGCTCCCACCCAGCCCCTCTGGAGGCCACTCACTGGCCCTTCCTCACATGGTAGCCCCTCTCTGCTTAGAGAAATATCCCCACTTTCTCTGATCTAAGGATATATTCTTGGCCTTACTTGAATGTGGCTGTGTTTAGAGCTTTTTTCCTACTTATATGTGCCGGAAGCAGAAAGAAGTGGTTACCGTATGTGTATGGTCTCCCTCCAAAAACCCTAGATCCAGATAATAATGCTCATATTATTTTGCTGCAGTATTTCAGATGTTCCCTCCACCCTGTTTTTAAATTTGGCTTCAGGGTGTACTCAGAAGACAGACAAGCTCAGAACACCAGCTATGTGTGGTATTGCAAAATAAATTTATTTGAAGATAAACTGTCTTATAAAAGGTCAGAGGCAATTTGAGATCCCAGATTCAGCTTTAGCTTGTCTCATAAAAAGATTCAACTTCAAGTAGCACAATTTCTTGTCTGCTTTTAATCCTGAATATTCTTGAAGCACGAAACAGCCAACTGTTTACACAACACACATCTGTGACATCTGACTCTGGCACCTGTGGAGCCGCAGCTTTCAGCTCTGAGGCCGCAGGGGCAGCAGCCCTCAGCTTCGGGAGGGCCCAGATCAGGCCACTGTGACCTCTGGCTTTGCCAGCAACAACAGGTCCCAGCATCCCAGCCCTTCCCTCCCCTGGCGCCTCCCAAAAGCACAAGAATGCAAACCGAGACTGGCCCACCACTGAGGCAGGGGTGGACTCCCACCTGAGTGTGCCAACAGGGCGGGTAGACCATCCTGGTGACTTCCTGGTGGGCCTGGCCAACCAAGAGGCCAGGTGGCCTCACTGGGCCTTACCTGGCTGCCCGGCAGCCCGGAGAGGAAGGAAGGAGGAAGGGCGCTCATGGTGCGATGGCTCTGGCCATGCTGGCGGGAGCTACGTGATGATCCTGGCGATGGCTTGCAGGGAGGGGAAGTCGTCGTCCCGGGCAGCATGCAGCGCCTGGTGGCTGCTGGCATCGCCGTGTGCGAGCACCTGCTGGCAGGTGGGGCACACACGGCAGTCCAGGCCCGCCTGCTGGGTGGTGGCCTGCCACGCGCTCTTCTTATTTTTCTTGGACTTGGTGCCGAGAGGCTTCTCACGGTTGCAGAAGTCCGTGTGTGCAGACAGGAGCTCCTGCTGCTTGGCTGTGTCGGGCAGTAGGACCAGCAGCTCGTTAAAGACCTTCTGGAAATTCTCCCCCAGCAGGTCCCGGCAACTCTTGTAATACTGGGCTGCGGAGATCAGGCCCTGCCGCCGGAGAGTCAGACTCAGTCATTCCCTCCGGCCTGGGCCCTGGATGAAGACGGGTTGGCCACCCCACCCCGGGCCCGCCTGACCCGTCTGGACTCCTTGGGCCCGCCTGACCTGTCTGAACTCCCCTGAGTGGCTCTTGAACTCGCTGAAGCGGGCCTCGTCGCTCTGCAGGAAGTCCCTGATGGACTGGATGAGCTGCAGGTTCCTCTCCCGGAAGTTCTCGGGGACTAGGTAGGCCTGCAGGGCAGGCGGCGGCCTGGGTCTAGGAGTCAGAAGGTTAAGAGAAGGTGGAGGCTTCAGCCTTTAGAATGGCCCAAGGGAAAGGTACCTTCCTCCAGCCCGCAGTGGACGCCAGGCAGCCCACCCACACTTACGGTTTTGTGGTAGTGGCGGTGGTGGTGGGGCTGGGAACGCAGGCCGGGTGGGGGCTAGGCAGAAGGCCAGAGAAGCCGGGGGGCGGCTTGCTGACGGGGGGCACCAGGCCTGGTGGGGGTGGGGGAGGTGTGCCCTTCAGGAGCACCACAGCGCTGAAGCCTGAGGGGTGGCAGGACAAGACCCAGAGGGGACCCTCGCTGACTGCGGGCTGCCTGGCCTCCAGGGCCAGCTTCTGTCCACAGCCACCCCTTCCCCGCAGAGCAGGCGCAGGGCCAGCACCCACACCATGCTTCCGGTGTGGCAGGCCCA